CTAGCGATCAGCACAGATAACTACTACAGGGCATATGTGATATGGAATATATTGCTCTATTAAATAATTATCTAGAATACAGTTTAGATGATAACCATACAGTGAATTTATCTTTCCAAAGTATATTAGCACGCATGTCTTTCATGTAACAGTGTCCTTACAATGCTATGTTACATTTTGAATCTTATTGACTGAAACCTGGACTAAATTTTTTTTCTGTATTTTCATCTGTGCCTTTATTTTTGTAAAGTAAGAACCTATAGAAAATTTTAGGCTAAATTGGTTCTTATAAAAAGAGGGTTTGAAAGGAACATTTTTGCCTAACAGGTTCTTAAATTTTAGGTTCTTACACGCGGGTTTTTTACTGTATTATATAGGCAGTTCTGTAGTTCTGTCATACAAAGATGGTTAATTTATTAGCAACAGAAATAAAAACTCTGAACAATATCAATCAACACTTTCTAATCTCAAACTAATCAGGCAACATTTATTTTATTTTAACACAACTTTCAGTAAAGTTATAGTAAGAGTCTAAAAAAGACTCCCCCCCTCAGAATGTTTGGAAATCACATTTTCGAGGACTGTTAAAAGTTTTTGTTTTTAACCTTTTTTTTCTGGTTTTCCAAGGGAGCATTCCTCCCGACCTCCCTAGATAGACCTTGTCACGGTTTTCGACGCCATCTTGACGAGTACTGAGGCAAACGCGTGAGAAATTACAGTGTTTGTATGAAAATCTAATGTCGAATAATTTCCATAAAACGGCTGTTCTGAAAAAAATATCAATTGTAAACTAAAGCTACAAAGCAAAGGATTGTCTTAACAAAATTTTGGGGGCGTACCTGTGCTTAAATTTCTCAAGAGGCTTGCTTTAGATTTTCCATATATTTGTCTGTAATTTTCCCGGGACTTTCTTACAGACAAATGTATAGGAAATTTAAAAAAAGTGGTTTTTAGGTCTTCTAGTGCATGTAACGCCCTCAAATTTTTCTGGTAGAGTCCTTAGGAATGAAGCTTTAGTGTACAAATCATATTTTTTTTCAGAACAGCGATTTTACGGAAATTATTCGAAATTAGATTCTCATACAAACACTGTAATTTCTCACTCGTTTGCCTACTCGTCAAGATGGCTTCGAAAACCGTGACAAGGCCTATTCTACCACTCAGCAGTCATTTGATCGAGCCCCTATTAAAAAATCCTAGATCTCCAGATTTGCCCTAGCTACTCTTCCCATGAGTACCAATGAGTTTGATAGAATTGGAGAACAATAACGCAGTCCTGATTGTGTTAAAAGGAATAGTCATTGAAGGAAGGTCAACAAGAAAAGTACTTCACTAAAGGGACTGATGATTTGATTTGATGGTGCTCCCTCCATTTTCACCAGTCCCCCCTATAAATACTGTTTGGTCCCTTTGTAGCACTGAAACGTCACTTTAAGGGGGCTCAGTCATTAATACAGGCGCATTTAGCTGCCGGACGAAGTTTTCGTCATAACTTTTTTGTTTTTAACGCGATGGCTGAGAAACTTTGCAAAGAACAACAGATATCATTCGGCAATAGTACGAAATATTCCTATTTCGTTGATGGTAAATATGTTTAATTTTGCTAAATCAGCGCTTCAAAGGACACTTCTGTTCAAAGAAAATTCCGTCTGGTAAAAAAATTTGCTGATAATTTTTACTGAAATTTCTGGTATCGGCTTTAATTGATATAATAAATATGCCAGAGGAATTTCAGAAAAATCGTTGGAGCAGGAGTCCGTAACTAAAAGTCGCTCAGAATTTAGCTGTGAAATTGTTTTGGAATTTCAAGAATAAATTACTATCAGGTACAAGGAGACACTAATTTGAATTTTCGGGACAAATAAATTCAATGTTTGCTAATTCTTAAAACAAAAGCCGATTGCCTATCGCACTATTTTTGAAAAGGTACTTTTTAGTTTTAGAAGCATTATAAATTGCTCCAAACCTGCTCTGAAGTAGAATGACTTGTTTCTTGACATTTTAAAAATATCCATTGGCAGTTTTGGCTCAAACTCCTGCTACATGCATTTTGATGTATTGCAATGCATTTTCAACGACTTTACTGCTCTTCGTTGCTTCCAACTCAGGAAAAAGGTATTGAGATTGGACGCTACCTCGTATCAGAGCTCAGACAGAACTACCGTTAAAAGATATTTTCTCTCGGTATAGCTCTGGCCATAAGGAAGGCTAATTTTGTTAGCCGAAATACTGGCCTATAATAAATCAGTCCTTTGCCTTAGTGCTAACCTTGCATTCAGTTTTGTTTCATTTTACACATCAAGTGACCTCTGGCTACAGCATCTCTTTAATAATAGATTCGGCAAGAGGAACCAGTCAGTTATATTAAAGTGTTGCGTGGACTCTGCATCAAACAGGTTTTTCTTTTTTAAGTTCACAGCAACTACGACACACGCATGTTAACATATCGATACATATATCGAATGTTCTCGAGGTGCATGTATTACAACGAGAAAATATTACTGGAAAAGCTAAAGAAGATGACTGAATGAATGAATGAATGAATGAAAATTTTATTCAAGTGTTGATGTCTTTAGCCTTGCAGCTAATGGGGGATAGTCTTTGAAACCTTTTTTTCCATAACTATTTCTTTGAAAATTGCCAGAGGGGAGTATCTCATCTCCGCTAGGTGACATTTGAAAGGTTTGTCAATTCCGGATTCCGGCGTTCTACATTCCTCCCTTCCAAAAACCTTCAAGAACACTCAATCAATTCGCTTTCCACAACAAAAATGAAGAATTATGGAGATCTTTGAGGGTCATTTAGCTGATCTGCATAATTCTTGTTTTTTTTTTCAGCAGTCTCATCCAATAATTATGTATTGTTCTCTACTTATTACAACGGAAATTATAAAAGTTTAAAGTTTTCTTAGACCACAATTGTTGAAACTATTTTACAATGATGTTTCTCTGAAAATTGTCCAAGAGGATGTTTTATCTCTATTACGTGACATTTGAAGGTTTGTTAATTCCGGATTCCGGCGTTCCAGATTTGTCCCTTCCAAAAACCTCAGCGCAAAAGCGCGTCTGTGACAAAAAAGGCGCGAAAAATGTTGTCATACGTCGCCTCTCGTACGAACTTTTTGGTGTAAACCACACGCAGAAAGCAAACAAAGCAATATTTTCTACAAATTTGTCCGTATGTATGGCCGCAAAAAACGGTATATGATTTATACTCTTTTGAAAATGTTTTTGTACATTGTGTGAAGTGGATTATAGTCGAATGAATGGCAAAGTAAAGCGAGCTGGAGGCACGAGGTCTGTTTGTAGCTGTCCCCATCTGCAACGCTTGGTTTATAGATTATTTAACTCCGTTTTTTTTTCAGTTTTTGTGCTTAGTTGGTACAGAGATCTTCTCTTTAGTGAAGAAAGGTAGGGTTAAAAGGGGAAAGAGTGATTTAACATTCTGAATGAGGAAACTTTATGACGCCATTTAGCTTTAACAGCTTAAATTTATGTGACGATAAATCATACATTTTTAATTTTTGTAGGAAAGAGTCAGTAAAAGCAGACAAACATTGTGCAGGTAACAAATTGTTTAACGTTTTTCCTTTTGCTATGTATTCCTGTTAATCTATTAATTATTCTCAATGACAATTAAGATCTAACTACTAATTAGTTTATTTACTACAAATGTAGACCTAAAACTTGGAAATGTATGGAGAAAAACTAAGAAAAAAACAAAAGGGCCGGCCTGTTATGTCGCGCAACTTGTAATAATCATCGCGCTTTGTTAACCTTTCGAAATTTATGATAAACCGTATCGCATGTTGCAATAAAAAAGCTGTTGCAATTTGTAACAACTATCCATCGCACTCTCTAAAAATAAACTAAGCTGTCGCAATTTATAATAATTCCATCATACTTTGTAAAAAACTTTTTTAGAGTATTATTCCACTTTATTTGTTTGCAATTAATGTGACCAATATCTTTTCAAAAAAATTAACGGCACCCCATAATCAAATGATGATTCTGTGATCAAGCAAGTAACGTACGAAAATTGAAGCCGGTTATCTCCCTTCATTTAGATTAGTCAAATTTACTTGTCATAGACTTATGAAATTCCCGGGGGGACTCCATATAATGGCCTTTACGGGAAGGCTCCGCCCGAAGGGGGTACCTTATTCGAGCTCCAGGTACATGAAAGAGTAGGGATTTTACTTATTGAAATTTATGAAAGGTTAGGGAAATCCGTTGTGATTTCGATCGTTTTCCCGGGACGAGGTTGAGTTGCTTTCGTTGTGAAAACTAAAATGGCGGACACTTCACTCGTTTCAGGAGCAAGAACTACAACTGGAACTAGGCGAAATAATGGCTAAAAGCATAGCAAAAACAGCAAGAAGACAACTCGGAGGACGACATCCGCTATTTGGAGAATATTGGCGGAGCTGGACAAACCTAAACGTACAATATCGATGATAAACTTAACATCGATGCAGGTAAGCATTTTTTTGCTATGTTTTTAAACTAGAAATTATTTTGAATGAATAATAAAACAATTAATGAATTCGGCTTTCGTAGGATATGAAGAATTAAGCAGATCTCGGAGGGTGTTATCCACCTCGGATAACACCCTGCGCGATCTGCTTAATTCTTCATATCCTACGAAAGCCGAATTCATTAATTGCTAAATAACTAATATCTAAGAACGTCACCAGGAAAGAAAAAAAGAAAGCAACAACAACAAAAACAAACAAGCTTCACGATACTAAAAACTACAACTATAGAACTATACCCTGTTCACGTAAATTATGGCAAGAGAACTTAGGGATATCTGCACGCAAATAAACCGGGCTACTTTTCCGTTTCCCAGTGCATTCCAGGAGAAAAAGCCTCTGCTCGCAGGGTACCTCGTCTTCACTGAATAATATTATTGCAAATTAAATAACTAAGTCTTTCATTCTGATTGGATAGTGGTAATGACAGGGAAACGTATGATGGACAAAATGTGTACTACGAATTATAGAAAGTTTGACTCCGATTTATTAATGCCTTGTTTACAATACAAATACATTTATTACTTCGGCGGAGCGCGAAGTAAAGGATTCGCGACGCTCAGGAATGTATCAAAGTTACAATTTTTTGACAAGATTGGGCAAGCAAAGTCTGTAGGTTTTCGGTTCTATTCGGCTATTTGACGAAGTGAGAGCCGAATTACTTCGAGATATCTCGAGATCACTTAGATTTCTTTGATTTATTCTTTAACTTTTTCGAGGAAGAAAGAATTATCATTTTGGCTTTCCCGGGGTTTGAACCGACTCGCCTGTGTGACCCGTCAGATCAGAGAAGACTCTAAGTTGAGGGATTAGCCGATTGCGCTACTGCGACCCAAGGTTGTTTGGGATGTGAAAAATAGTTATGAAATGATGCACTAGTTTCGGGACAAGATTGGGCGTGCAAGTTCGTGACTTTTCGGCTTGTTTCAACTATTTCCCCAAATGAGACCGGACTACTTCGTGATATCTCGAGATCACTTCGAGTTTAGTCTTTAATTACTCGAGGATATTTCGTGGCCGCGCAGAGACACGAAATTTCTCTTCGAGTGTTGAAAAACATTTCACGAGTGAGCCCTCCTTTCGAACTGTTTTATGATGAATTTAAAGTTACAAAATGCTGCACAAAGACATTTTGTCTTTGTCGAGTGTTACGTAGTAAAATTGCTTTCATGCGTTGCGTGACTTTCTCGAACGTTCTCTACGTTTTTGGATTATTCATGAATAATTAATTAGGGCATGTTTACATTTCAGCATGACTCAGCAGATTTGCATCAGTTGCTGAAATCATAAAATATGTCGAAAAGCTATTACTATTCGCCTGTTTGGTATTTTCTAGAACCTTATGTCAAACGGTATACAAGTTCCAAGCGCGTTCTTTTGACGAACTAAGTTTTTTCCCACGAGCTGGACTGCTGTGTTTAGTCAAGTGTGACGAAGGTCGATTTTCAGGTTCTGTGTTTACAAGTTCGCGGAAGCCGCAAGATATCCGAAGTTCAAGTGACAGTTTGTTATTATTGGTAGAGGCTGTTTAGTTTTACTCAAAGTTCAAGTCAAGTTTGCAAGGATGCTGTGTTTTAAAGCTCTGTAAAGGCTATCTTTACAGAGCTTTAACAACTTCCTTGTGTTAATCCGACATCCCTGCGTGCTGATAGTCAGTGAATAATTATCCTCAAAACATTCGAACTCGTGACTTTGATTTTTAGTTAATTCCATGCTCAACGTAATTGACTCCTTACCCATGCCTTACATATCTTTATTCAGTACATGAGACTGCTATGCTGCTTTTGAAGCCTGATGTGACTAAGAAAAATAGAGAATTGTTTTTTTAGAAGGATTTGTATGGAGTCCTCAGAGCATAACAGGGCTAATATCTCGGAGACAATTTGTCCCGAAATGCTAGTTTTTGGCAAATAGGCCTCTTGGGTGTTGCTCTTCTCAGAATATCCTGACAAATCCCATAATTTCACAAATTAACACCTTACTCTTACCATATTTGATTTCTTACTATTCCTCCGCCTTTACAATTAATTAGTTCCACAACAACGACGCCAAAGGGTACGCTCTGTAGCGTCTTGTTACACAAAGGTTTTTCGGTGAAATTCTGTATTATCTTTTCTGGTCTCCGAGATCTTCTATGCTGTCATCATCAATCTAAAGTTACAAAAAAACATCAAAATATTTGTTAACAGTGTAAGGCAAGAGTTTTAACAAATATTATAACCAGAAAACTGTAAATTGTAAAGCTTGATATAAAACATTAGAAAAGGATCAGTAGAGAAGTGGATAAGGAAAAAAAAGGTTATAAAGCTGACAGCCGCGAAGTCGGAATAGGAGTCGTAAGAGCGCCTAAGATTTTGTCAAAATCAAAAATCGGATTCGTAAGCGGAGCGATACGCGCCACAGAATCGGAGTCGGAAGAATCCGAAAGTTTTTGTTTTTATTCCGAATCCGCTTATGACTCCTTCGCTTATGATCTTGTCAAAACCAGATTGTTGGAGTCGGAAGTCGGAAGCAGGAGCGCGAGGATAAACCAATCACAATGCTTGTTCTCACGCTTTGTTATTGGTTTAGTTCTTCCGCTTCTGCTTGCGACTCAGACAACCCTGCTTTCACTAGACCGTAAGCAACGGAGTCATAAGGGGAATCAGAACGTTGTTTTCACTAGATCATAACGCTCTAACGCTTCTGATTACGACTCCCCAGAAGCACTGTTCCTAGCTTGGAGTAAAAAACATTTTGTAAATCTAAGAGGTTGTTTTTTTTGTCACCATGGTTATGAGATATGTGCTGACTAGATAGGTCATCACACTTGTTCAGAAGAAAATTATATAGAGGATGGGGGGGGAGGGTGGGGGGAGGGGTTACTCAACCAAAGTTCTGTACGGGAAGGCTCCGCCCAGAGGTTCAACCATTCCCCCTTTTATGCACCATTTTTCGCAGAAGGTACCCCTTTTAATTTGTATGCCTTCCACTGTAAAATGGTACCCCTTTATATCTATATCTAAGAATAAGAATAAATGCCTACAACAGCAACTCCCTCTGCCATTTTCGTGTAACATTTTAATAAATTAGAATGATAATTATAGCAAGGCACGTCTTTTTGAAGCATTTTAAATAAAAGACCTTTTAAATACTTAAACGATTTTCCTACCCTTTCATATACTTCAACTTGTGAATCCCTACCCTTTAGCCTGAAAAAGGTACCCCCTTCAGGCAGATCCTCCCTGTATAAGCCTTTATGGGGAAACCCCCCGGGATTTTTTACTTCATTAATTATTGCATGCATCCTCCTCGTTTCCCTGCTCCAATCTACCTGGGAGCTTTCATTTGAAGGCTTCTTAATTTTTCTTCGCTTGAAAGCAATATTGAGAGAAATTTCTTTATACTGTTTTGTTGTTACAACACAAATAATTGATTATGAAAATATAGGGGAAATAAGAATGAATAATGAATAAAAATGATCACCTCTGGCCACTTTTCAGGAATAAAATCCAGAAGATCGTCTAAGACATCTCCCTGGATGACAATTTCATCAGGGCCTGTCACTGATGATCCACAGGAGTATTTTTGAGCAAAGGCCTTGGCAGCCTTCTTGCAGTCAATATCTAAAAAACGTTTGCACATAACAGCTTAGAACTTTTAAGATACAAATGTTTCTTGATGAGTTACTTTTCTCACTCACAGGTTTACTAATTTATTGAGTTACTTTGTGAATCCCTTGATAACTATAAAAAGGTTGACTGATTGATAACCTGGCTACTCAATAACATGACTGAGTCATTGGAGTATTGGGAGCTACATATATATTCGACTAATAAGTGGCAAATACGACAGAGTATAATTATGTAAATTTTCCAGGGACAATACCCCGTTAAAATAGTTTAAAAAAATTCCCTTAGGATGAACTTTTTTATGACACCATTATCTTACCTGTACATGTAACCAAAAAATATGTAAAAATATGCTAAGACAGAGGGCACACAAAGCAGCTGTACATGAAGTTACAGGCCCGTAACCAGGGTTTTATGTGGGGGGGTACTAACGAGGCCAAAGTGGACCAAACTACCGAAATGTATTTTTATTGTCTGATCCGTTTATTTAGGGAAGAAGCAATACATGAGAAATTGTAACGGCAAAGTACATGGTAGGAACTGAATATTACATTTGTCGAAGACAACTGTTTGAATTAAGTTATAGAGGAGTAATTTTACGATATAAAATGATACATCAAAATACTGCGGAACTAATCCCTCAGAATAGTCCCGAGCTCCAGCCTCCGTGGGTGTTTGGTGGCAAAAAAGATTTACCACCTCATCCAAAACAATTTTAGCTTGATAATGTATGTGCATTAGTGCGAGGAAGGACAGCCTTTCCTGGCCCATGCATGCCCTGTTATATGTATGCAGCCGCCTTAAAGAACTCGCACTTCTTTCACATTCACAGCTCATTGCAGGGATTGTGGCGCATATCATGAGGAACATCTATATATTTGGAAAGAGATCATCATCACACTCCTTAAGCGTGCACACGTTAATTTCATTATTCATTTAGATAAGCTCAGACATCTGTGCGCTCATTGAAATGTTCTGAAGGACTCGGGCTACTAGAGTGCAGCTGGTTTTATTTTCCCCGTGAATACGCTACTACTTTTTCTATTCTTTGATTTTGTTTAAATATCACTGTTAAGTTTGAAACTTTAGTTTAACCGATTGCACTCCTTAACTTGGATATTGAGTATCAAAATGCGGACCTTTGGGGCCTGTGGGGAGGGTGCGAACGCACCCTGTGCACCCCCCTAGTTACGGGCCTGAGTTACTACACAGATAATTATTACCATATTATCATTATTGGTGAAATTCCAGTCCATCATAATTATTAATTTACAGAGTAATAAAATCTACTTCCAGCCTCTGTTAAAACTACCTAATCATACACCAGGGTGGAGACAAATTTTGCAGTGGTGGGGCGACATGTTTGTGTGTAAAAAAACCTCACGGTGGCAGCCAAGACCAGGCAAAAATCATTAAACCTCATGATAAGAGTCAAGGTCTGTATAATGTTTTTAAAAATGGTTAATAGAGGATTAAGAAAATTTGAAACCCAACATCTTCTGATCCAGCAACTAGTAGCAACTCCATCCAGTGTGCTTTGAAAAACAACCAAACAAGTTAATACAATTTTCACTTACCAAATGTACCTAATCCAGTCACAACAGTCACATACTTCTTTTTGTTTCTTTGTGCTCTTGAAAGTACAACTTTCTTGGTCACATTCTTAATTAAGAACAATGACAAAGTCAACATAAACAAATCACTAGTGAAAACATGCCTTAATTGCTATTAATAGCCAAGTTGCATCATGTCCTCCCCTCAGACACAGCTGAACAGGCAGCAGATACAACATTCTATTTCTACAACATCCAGGAAGCAAAAGTGTCTGTTGATCCAGGATATATGTTCCAAGTTGACACTATGTATTAGAAAGGCGACCCTGGTTCATTGCATTTTCACAGACATAAGAAAAGGTCACCTGCTGCTCAATGGTAATGCAGCTTTGGGCTCATAAGTGTGAAGCAGCAAAAAAAAAAAAAAAGATCAGTACTAGTGGTAAGACACTATGACTCTGCCCACCCTTATGTGACCTCTAAAATTAAACATGAAAATGCATTGGACCTGTCCACCTGACTTGCTCCCAATTAACTCTCAGTCTCCTATTAATATTCAAGATTCTCATGTTCTGCTCCTCTTGTGTGATTCCCTCATCCAAAATATAGAGATGACCAGGGACGAGTCACCTGGTCTCCTACACACTGCCCAATGAGCAGTCTATTGAAATTTAAAAAATATACCAAGCTTAAGATTGTTACAAAACAATATTCAATAGTTTTAAATCACCTTTTTCTTTGGAGCTCTCACAACTCCCTTTCCACCTAGGAATAAAGCAAGAAACATGAAACAAGTATGTGTTTACACACAGTACTATCCAACAATGTATACCACATTATTTGACTTACAGTTATGAGGGCTTTCTTAATCAGAAACCTACTTTATTTAAGTGTCACATGAATGTAATTATCATGCAAGTACCATATTAAGGACACCAACTCTTACATGACTGTATGTCTCTTACTGACACAGCCTGCCATTTATACATCATCTGAACTACCCAAAAGTCTGGCCATTTGCAGGGGAAATGTAGTACTTTGTCGCTTCTTTTAAGAAAATAAGTATACATGCAAGTGTTGGTTATATCCCAAAAATTGAACCAGCTGCAACTTCATGTTCTACAGACAAGCACTCTAGCAACTGAGCTACTTTTGAAACAGGGTAGCTTGAAACTTATAGATAAAATCAGGGAATCGAATCTTCTTACTTTTCTTTTAATCATTAAACTCTTATTAAGAGGGTTGTAAACGCCTTATGCACTTCCAAGACAGCCACAAGCAACAACAAAGTGCTGCCACGAATTTTTCATTTGAATAAGTACAGTATGGAGTTGGTCTATGGTCTAAAAAGTTCTTACATACTAATACTACGTCATATATGATAATGAGGAACTCGAGATATGAAAGTGCAGTCAAACCTTCCGTAAATGACCACCAAAGCTGGGACAATTTTATGGTTGCTTACGGGAGGCACATGTAGTGGCTCATGAGAATCAAACCACAGGGGATCTCTTCCCAGAAAATGTCCTAACACATCAATTTTGTGGCAGAGAATTAAATTCATTCAATTTCTAAGTTATGTATAAGTGCAGTTCCATCTTGTTACTGAAAGTTCTTTGTAGTACATACAGTAAACAAAGAGAGCACACCAAGCATCAAGTGGTTGCTTAAAAGAGGTTAACATATAGATTTAGCCAGGGCTAAAAGCGAGGCTCCCATTAATAAATTTATGATTTAAATCAAACAATAAACTTGTATTCCACAATTCAGTTAACTTTAGAGCACATTCGTGTGACTTTTCAGCGAAAGGCTAAGTGGTTTTACAAAAAATAATTTGCAAACAGCCCAAGAGTGAACCAAATCTCACATCTAGTTGATAGCCTCATAAGTACACCCAAAAACTGGCAATCATCTTCGATCACATTTATTAAGAGCCATAATGGCTCTTGATCACCGTAGATTAAGTAGGCCTGGAAAAAAAATTCCGGCTGAATTTTTTGCGTTCGACAAGTTTTTTTCACAAAATCTTGCCAACAAATCTGGGTGCGTGTAAACCAACCTTTTATATCATTTATACATCACATCTGAGGTGAAACAGTACTATAAGGCACTGTTTTTACCATACAGACCTCGGACAACAGAATGCAGTATTTCACAATATTGCGATACAAATTGCTATTCAGGACGATCGAAGCACGCGTGGGCTTTAGCCGTAAACCGNTATATCATTTATACATCACATCTGAGGTGAAACAGTACTATAAGGCACTGTTTTTACCATACAGACCTCGGACAACAGAATGCAGTATTTCACAATATTGCGATACAAATTGCTATTCAGGACGATCGAAGCACGCGTGGGCTTTAGCCGTAAACCGTTGAAAAAATTTTCAAAATCATCTATACGGCCAGCAGGTTCTGACTTTTACCGTGCGAGCAGTGGCGAGTGTTTGAATGAACATTAACAGAGTTACGCTCCAACATGATAAAGAATTTATTATGTTTATTTTTTATTTTAAAACGGTTTAATGCGAATTTAACAGAATTATAACTAAATATCCTTTGAAACATTTTCTTTCTATTTGCGGTGAGAAAATGTCTAAAGGCTTTTTAAAGATCTGTAAGCTTATAACAAACCTGATACTCGGTCAGATTATTGTCTCAAATCTTACAAACGTGCGTAAACAAAATAGCCGCATAAACTATACTCGACTTCATTAAATCAGGAATAAAAAACAAACATCAAATACAATAATTACTTAGGCTTACCACTCGAGATGCAGCTCCTGAAAGGTATCAAGTAAGGCCAGTATCGCTTCAGACTTTGCAACCCTGTTACGCATTAAGCAAGATGAAAACGAAAACGATGCCATCCGAAATCGGATTTCCGAATTTGACTCAACCAAAAACCCAATAAACAAACTAGCCATGAATAACAGAAGACTCCTGATAGCAGCTCAATTTCATTTTGTACATCCAGTGGAAAAAAAAAGTTAAAAACACCACAAGTTGACACAAAACTCTGTCAGCTTCAGCTGTCAAAGTAAACAAGATTCAAGATGCTGCATAAATTTTCTGCTTGGACTCACCTGTCAAATTTTGACCAATCAGAGCATAAAAATTGGACGTAGAGCGTGACCAACGCGTGAACATGGCGAGAAAAATCTAAAGCAGCTGTTTTCCCTGCCTGTAGCGGCTGGCTGAATTTTCGCGTCCGAGGTCAGTTTGAAATCAAAATTTTAATTGTGCGGCACATAAACACAACATATTTCATATTTCATATGAATTTAAAAAAAATAATAAACTTGAGCCTGCGATCATTTGAAAACCAGTACCTTGTCAGCCGATAACTTCAAAAAAACACTTGACCTCGATGGGTCGACACCTGAGCCCGCGATACAGTCAAGTGATACTGGTCAGCGGATACCTTGTTTGGACAGCTGTCAATGGATCACAACATTGACGTGTATCAGTTTTCCTGTGCTCCGATCCCAAACTAGCTAGAAAGTATGAGACTGAACATTGATCGCGATCTAGTAAAATAATTAACCGGTCAGCGGACAGCTTCCAAATAAATCACGTCACCTCAATGAGTTGACACATGAGCCTGCGATATGTTCATGGGATACTGATCAGTGGCTATCCTGTTTTGACAGCTGTCAATTGACCATCTTGTGAATGTCAAATGTAAAAGATGTGGACTTGGCAAGACACGCCTGAGTCACCCCTCCCTTCCTTTTGATAGTCTCCCCTACCCCACCCGTACAATCCGTAGACGCGTAGGTACGTACGTACGTACGCTCGGTCAATCACATGACAACCAAAGGAAAAGAGGTTGACCATAATCTATGGGTATGGGGCTCTGTCCCACGTGCGCTTTGCGTGTGGGAGCCCCGCTAAAAACAATGGTAAACTACAAAACTACAGGCCAAAAAGTGGGTTCAGTTGCTTATAAGAGGTGGTCATTCACGAGAGGTTCTAACAGAAGGGCTTTGACTGGGGAAATTTTGGTGTTTTAAATAAGTGGCCCTTATGAGAGCTGGTCGCTTACAAGAGGTGGTCACACATGGAGGTTCAACTGTTGAAATTACCTCTTGTCTGCTTCTTTTTTGCTGCACCTTCACTGACATCCACTTCGGCTAACTGTTCAGCAGCTAACAATAACAAAAGACATTTATAACATAGCGTGCATGCTTACCCTTTATTAACTACTATTGAGTCGCAATGAAAAAAACCTTTATTTACACATGCCCATGTGTAAATAAGATGACGTGTACAGTTTTTTCCAGGAAACTCAGATTTTCGTCTCTTTTTCTCAACAAGTCTCCAATAATGAGGAACAACTTTCTAGTATTTTTGGAATTCAGCTTCTAGCCACTCAATTAAAACAACAGCAAAAGTGGTGAAGATGTTTGGCAAATTAGTCAGAGCCCTCAAGTCATTGAAAAGTCTCGCATTAAGACTGACATTCAGCTGGGAAAAGACCACAAATTGGTCTGTGTCGAGGGATATCCAATTTGCATAAAGTGCTCAGCCTCCGTTTTTTACCTTTGTTTGGCCTTTTGAAAACAAGTTAATTATAAAGTAATAGCAAAACATTATCAACTTTTGTTATAACCGAACAATCCAAGTTGAGGCTGAGGCTGATAACACTAACCGAGACCTTGGTTATTCCGGATATCACAAAAACCGAATCTAATAATTGTTTTATTATACTTTATCTTCAAGTAATTTCTCAATTTCTTGCTGGGTCAATGAAATGAATCGAGAAGCCATTCTTACTTCGCTGTCCGCGAACTTGACATTGCTGTCCGTGGACTTGACATTGCTCTTGGAAATCATGCATTGCGCGCACAACCTACAGATTATTCACTAATCTGTAGGTTGCACTGTTTCCCAGAATTAACTGTAGGCTTTTAGCCAATGAGAAGACAGATGGTGACTACAATGTATAAATAATCAAACAAATTAAACAGAAGTGTGTTCAATAAATTACCTTGGTTTATAAGAACTTCATAAGCATCAGGGATATTTGACTTGAGCCATTCCTTACACTTCTCATATTCTGCCGTGTACTCACAGTACTAACAAAGACAAATATGACTCTAGTGTCAGTGATGAGTAAAAATGTTTGGAAATCTCACAAAATTAATACTACTTGGATATTTAAAACAAAAGGGATAAACTGTCCCCAATATTTCATTACTGTGGTTGCTAATGAGCAACAACTTCTTCCCAAACCTTTTTCTCATCATGAAGATTAAAGTGAGATTCCTTATAATTCACAATATTCGTATTGATTTCAGGTGAATTTTTTTACCTAGGTTGATTCTCAATTTCCTTTGGTCTTCTATGGCTAGGAGACATTAGAATCGACCTAGAATTTGACCTGTAACATAATACATACTATAGGGGTGACTATTAAACTCATTTCAACCATCCCAATAGAGTTCTCATAGTTGAAATACAACTGTAATTGCAATAGTCTCAACACTGAGGTGAATTTTAAATTGCACCATCATCAGTGTGAAGTGCATTTGTAGCACCAAGATACCAAACTTAAAAAAAAGGAACATTACATACAGAGCTAGAGAAAGTTACTGATTAAGGAAACTAAGAAAACAGCATCCTCATAAAACCTTACCTCAAGGGGCAGGCTACAAACTGGATGAGGAGACAATCATCGGCGAACCAGTCCACGATCAGTGGCAAATTAACAAAACAAAAAACAGGAAAAGTATTTTAGTGTTAAATACGTTTGAATTATATGCAACATGCGAAAATATTTTTACCTCCACAGTATTGAACTATTAGAGGATATTCGATTTTTTCTTCTGATTCCTCGGGATTTTCCGTCACAGGTTCGTGGTCTCCTTCTTCCGCCATTTTGTTTTTCTAGACTTTTGAGAAATAACGCTGTACAAGGCGATTGCAGTAACGAGAAATTGTCATGCCCCGGGTTAAGCCCCGGTCGCCCCGGGTATCGATCCCCCGAATACCCCCAGCGGACGTTTTTTGTTCCTGTCATTTACAGTGGGCAAGGATGAGTATCAAAACAAAACAAAAATAGTAATAAACGAGACTATCTTTGCATTTTTCTCAAAACAATAAGCTTCTTTTCGCTGACAAACCTTTGCCGCACCTCAGGGGATAGCCTGCGAACCGCAGACTTATTTCCGGTCGTCGCTTCTTAAGCCGAAAAAACCGGATGCTCTCGTAGGCTACTCAGGGACCAACTGTTTTGACAAGTGGAGTTGAGTTAGAGTTGACTTTAAGCCAGTTAACAAACTTAACTCTAACTCAGCTCAGACTCGTCTCCCGGCCAGAAGAAGAAACCTGTGCGTTCATTTTCAGGGAGTTCAGCAGTGATTAGGTCAGGCATTTATCCTGACCCGAATCCCGACCCGAATACAAAGTACAATACTCTTTAATACAAAATAAACCGTAAAGAAAAGTTGGTTAGCATACAAGATACATCTAAAATTTGATTGACGGCTTTGGGGCATGAAGCCGCCATCAAAGACATCTCCTCCAAACAATGACGCAACCATAACTGAGACGTTTACATAAACATTGAATAGAAACTTCGAACAGATTTGCATGCCTAATTAAAACTATCTTCCTAACTTCAGCACTGGGAAATATTCTTCCTTCTGTTTGAATGGAAAAGCTTTGACAGCTTTTCGCAGCAGCTTTTATTACTAGCTAGTGCGTACTTTTCGACATATTTCGTCTTTAGAGATAATGGCTTGTTAACCATGCTGCTTGTTATGAAGTGGGTGTTTTTGAGTGTCAGAAATTGTCTCGTTTTTGCAAAGAATGGGAAATTTTAGTTCTTCCGGTTTGTCAGTCGTGATATACTACAATGAAAACAGTCTTTCTACAACAGCTGAATAGCTTGACTTCTTAGATGGAAGTACTTGGCTCCAAATGAGACTCAATTAGACGTAAGTATTATGTTATATGTTATGAAACGAATTATAGCCTTCTGATTACTGCAAGGACTTTAACTGTACACTCTGCTTGTGTCGTCGTAATGCCTCATAATCGTTGCAATATCACAAGCCCCTTAAACGATCGAGTGCCCCGAAAAGGCATAAAATGTCCCGTGTCCGAGTACTCTGTCTGATTGGTATCCGGTCTTTATTAAAGTTGGGCTAAACAAGTATGCAACAACCCTTTTTCATTTTGGGGCACCCGGCATACCAAGCACACAAGCCGATCTTGTCCGTACAATTTGTTTCTTCCCTGTAAACGTGTTACCTAATGAGATTTAGCCCGAGAGACAATGACGCCGCTCCACCGACTCGTGACAGTAACGTAACCTTAATTGAGACTGACGAAAAAATATCTGAATCAAGTTTTCAAAAAAAAGGACCGACTTACTACTTAAGAGCTGTTTAGGCCAAACAAACCATAAAATTCAGGACAAAGTTAGCTCCATAACTCTTGGCAGAGATTCGCTCCTCGAGGACTCGAGTTATTCTCATTATTTCTGAGTGGAGCTTGTTCCGTTCCAACTCAAACAAACGATGACACAGGAAATTAGCAAAGACTGCATGGCAGCTCAACCGGAGCGAGAATCTTACCCTGCAATAAGTGTAGCGGGGTTTTTTTGAGTCTGATATGCGCTTGTCCCAAGATCTGGGTACCTTGACAAAGAATAGTACAGGTGGGCGCATAACTGAAAAACTTTGCGACATTACTAATTTTTTTGAAGATTGGAAATGTGAGTGTACTCATGGCAGGTGAAACAAGTTTAAAAAATTCTCAGACTTGACAGCTAAGAGGCGCATTGTTACGATTTCTTTTAAGAATATAGAATGAAATCCGGATTGCGTCACTAAACAACCAAAAAGGGGGTGGATATTTTTTTCTCTCTAAAGGCTGTTACTGTTCGTATTGAAACAATTAAAGCTGATCGAAAATCAGGTTTAACCACTACGTATATGTAGTAGTTCATGTCTGCTGGTCAAGATACATGTTCGTCAGAATTCCTTTATTCAGTATTAGCGACCCAGTTGGCCACACGTCTTAGTTTGTTTGCGTTCTTCACCCCGGTGCTAATGCAAATCAGCTTAGTACATTCGTATAGGTTATTACTAATGGTGCAAACTGTGCAAAGGAACATTTTTACAAACTTAATAGGCTATTGCACTAACTTGGAAGTGACTCCACAGTACTCACGATAGATCCCATTGATGAATAAGGCCATAATGATTAAGTCACCTTTCAGGCGGTTGTTCTATTTCATTACTTGCTATAAACATTAAACAATTAATGTTAGCGTTCATTGACTTAGTGAAAGCAAACAAGCTCTTTCATATCCTCTGCACTTTTACATACCTGGTTGTACATGCACTCTGGAATGTCTTTTTAGCTAGTTTTCGTTAGTTTACTACTTTAAATTCACATTTTTACGGTCACAATAATAGCAGGTGTTGCAATCTCTATCACCCCTATAAATTCGAAGTCTACTAAATGGTATATTAAAAATGGCCTTGTCCTGACGTATGGATGTAATTTTGTTAAGTCTGTTAATCCCATAAAGTCAATGTTCATTTTAAGATACAAATTTATCAGCCAGCGGCATTTAATTAAGGCCCACGTGTGAAAATTTCTCTTACAAAGATGTTATCTGTATGACAACAACAGAACCGACAAAGTATATTAAGTAAATTCAAACAGTTTTTTCAGTAGCACTTGGATCAGTCTATCGAGATTTCTAGTTTTTCAAGATTTTGGATTGACAAGGTAGGGAAATACCGGAGATAAGCTTTTATAGTGCGATTAATTTTATAATGACAGTTACTGAGAGAACTACTTTTAAGTAGTTCTCTCAGTAAAATTCCTTGCGCTGCCTTTCTAGAACTCTTTCTTTCCCCGTGGGACGATCTTTACAGGGGGAAATAGAAGGTCTGTGCGGCACCGGTTTTGTTTGTTGCAATCACTCTCAGGGGGCCGAAATTTTTAGTCGGTTGCTGAAAACCACAAAACGCCCCTATCTAAATCAGTTGAGTTTTTAAAACGTCTCTTTTAAGTAGAACTACTTTAACTACCTAACTTACTTCCTTTCGTTTTCAATGTAACAGGGTCTCTTTCCGTGTCCTAGTTTGGATTCTCATGGGTCAAGATCTTTATTGCGGCCTACATTTCCTCACAAGCCGCTTTCAAATCTAGGTTTAGGAGTTGTTTCTTTTTTTATAGTATAGAGAACATAAGAAGCGAAAAGGAAAAGGCCTAATGAAAAGAAATTATAACTCTTTTGTCAACATCAAAGATTCGTTTAACACCCGACTCGAAACTTTGATTTTACTGTGACTGACCACTGGTCAGATTAATGTGCTGTGAGGTTACAAAAGAAACAACCGTGAATGGACTGAAATACTTAAAAGTCTGTTCACTCGTAACTTTCACTTTGTCTTTGTCTTTTTCAATTTTATTATCTCTCCTTTCTTTTTTGATAAAATAATTAAGTGCTCGGTTCAGCGCCAACATTTTCCATTTGGAGCTTCACCTAATATAATAACTGGTCATGACTGATTATTACAAATTCATAGGAAATCAACCCGCCCAAACGCGAACGGCACCGGAAAATCCAGGAAATTATCAGTAGAATCGTTATTATCCTAAATGTCCAGTCATGCAGATGCGGCACTTTGTAAATTCGCTGCTGATAAATGAGAAGGCTTCAAACGCGCGTTCCATTCATTAGGACCCTAATCAAGCCTATTGTTCAAGAGTTCTATTGCACAATAGAACTGGTTGCTTAAAGCTAAATTACTTTTCCCTCAGTAGTCTCTGTTGACAGAAGTGATTGTTTTCCTCCTCCGCTGTTCTCTAGAGACGCTGACTGCATGGAAAGGTTACGAATTTAACTGACTTCAATATTAGGTTGTGACAGCTCAAATCATGAATTTAACTGGTTTTTTTGTGTGTTTCTCTAGAGAACTTGACCGGCTAAAAGAAAAAGAAATTGCATTCCAAGTTGTATTTTTGTGAATTTAAAAGTAAAACGAAGCCCGACAACACAGCTAGTTGTTAGTAACCGGCTCCTGTCAATAGCAAGTACTTGGTACTATCTGCTGTCAGACCATCTTCCTTTTCATAAATTAACTTCCATCACTCTAGGGAGTTAGTATAGCGTCTTTCCAAAATCAATATGTCTTAACAGAATGATTTCTGAAAACAGATTTCACTGACTAGCAGTAATGTTATCCCTAGTTTAAACAAAGAAAGTGTACCACAAAAGATCACTTATTTACTGTACTCGGATCTCACCAGAAACGTTTTGTGTGCGTGTGAATCAAACTCACTATTAATCGTTAGTATACTGTCTACTGATATTTTGGCTGTTTCTTTTTTAGTGAGGATTTTGTCTCGAAAATCCGCATAAGGATATTTTAAGCAAAGATCCATCGATTCGGTCCAGTAAAGGAATCTACAATGTCTGAGATAATTGACCTAGAGGATATGGACTATGACAGCATATACACCCAGGAAAGTGATCACTATACAGGGTTGCCAACAATGGACTCCATGTCTGATGGGTAAGTGGTTTTGTGTCCGACAAATACATTAGTCTCTTACGCATTTCGTTTAGCTAACGTGGACTTCTTCTTATTAATTCCAGGAAACCAGGGCAACAGCCGCGGATGATAACAATCAAGTCGTACACAGAAATATGTATAGAGGCGAAGGAGTAAGTACAGAGTTGATATCACTGAAGTCAATCTCGTACCTCGAGTCTCTCGAGTCCCTTACTGCGCATGTTGGCTTGACAAGACGACGCTCGTTTCCCGACCGCTGGTTAAGGGAAGCAAGACGCTGGGTACGAGGGTGATATTTAACAATTATTCCTCCAGCCCAAATAGGGTCAGCGTCAATTAACTCGGAGGCCATGAGGGCGAGAGGAATAATTGTTTTAGTAAAATCCAACTAGTTGGTCAAAAAATATCGAGACAAAACAACTTAAAGCAAGACTTTAATCCTTTTTTGCCGTCAAAAAGCCCGCGCTTTTCGCTACTAGTGGGTTATAACATATAGCCTAGTCGTAGCTCAACCAATCAGAACGCAGCATTGATAATAGACCACTAGTTGGATTTTACTAAAACCCTTTATGTAAGCCATACACAAATTCTCTAGACTGATCTTCATACATTTCCTTAAAGAATTGATTAAAGATCAAAGCATTTTCCCTTAGGTGATCATTTCGTTAATTCTCATAACCTCTTTTCTTTGTTATGTGTCGATATTGTTTACAGAAAATTGATTTTGGTCACTCCTGGGACTTACATTTTTAATGCGGCCATACCCCACACGGTATTCATAGTAGTTAGAGTCATAGCTTTTAAACTGACTTGATTTAACCAAGCTGTAGTTGATAAGATCTGACCTAAAATTGTAAAGACAGTAAGAAAGTATATCCTCGGCTTATCAGTACCCTTAAAACTCTCAAGTGGCCTTCAGACGGCCAATTTTGTAGACCTCGTGCGGTCGTCCTTCTTTCCTCAGAGCTACGCGCGATGAGCGAAAAAGTAAAAGGAGTAGGGATTGTGGCGGAGGGAGGAAAAAAAGGGACTTCTTGCAGTCTACCAATTTTGCCGATAATTTAAAGTATGTCTGCTCTTAATGATGTGACCTGAGCAACAAACGAGCAGATTTATACTTATTAATTCATGCTCTCTTATACACACTTTTTCAGTTCTCCATTGCCAGAAGATTCTTCTCCTAGTGTAAAACCGAAATTCAGGCAAGAAAAAGCATTTAAAGATATCAACATGAATAACAAACAGTCTGATCAAATACTAGACACAAAGAGAAAATTCTCAGCACCCAAGGCAAAATTTCCCAAAAGCAAGGACAAAGTAAACGTATGGACAAAACAAGGAAGAGTAGAGTCGAAGAAGAAAGCGGAAAGAGCGCCATGTTGGTTTGTGGTGTTTATTTTCTGCTGCGGTGTTAGCAAAGAGAATCCTTGGTATAGTTTACTAGGAAAGGGTGAGTTATTCAATAGTCGACATTTAACATCCTGTTTCTTTCCACAAATAAATAAATAAATGAACAAATAAACAAAACAGACAGACGGACAAACAAAAAGCACTGAGTACCAGTCTATTGAAATGAAGTTCCTCAGTTATGTTCAGTCAGTACCCAGTAAAACGTAATTTTTCCTCGGCTGCAGCGCTACCTCATAAAGAGATAAATAACCAATCTCTAGCCTCTTCACTTGTTGTAATGAACATTTTCTCATTCCGCAGGTGCATTCCTGGCGTTTTTTCTGTCCATTGTGTACCTCGTGGTTTGCTTAGCTGTTCTTCCTTTTCTTATCATTGCCGCAGCAGTGGGTGCGGTGTTTTTTGGTGCTGGTATGGTATCTTACCTGGCATTTTCATCCAAGAAAATCGGTGTTTCTTTCGATGAAGAAGGCGATGCGTCCTGCATAGGGGCAGTTTGGGGATCCTGGGTTTAGTCATTAAAAAGTTACTAGTGCTCAATCCCCGGCGGACTTTAAA